AGAAAATGCTGGTCTATACCAGAAGTAGAGACAGAAATAAGAGGAATTATTAAAGATACTCAAGAGATCCAGAACTGGGATCTCTACAAATATGCAATACAATTAATAATCAGAGCTTACAAACCCAAACCTACACCAGAAAGATGAATTCAACAACTTCACAAGAAGCTAAATAACTTTAACAACAAACTGGCCCAAAACCCTGAGCAAGAAGACTTTAACCTTCTCGCTAAACACACAAAAGCTCAAATTTAAGAAGAATTAGTATCTCTCTCTAAAAAATGGCAAATAAGGTTTAATGCAAAATGGATTGAAGAAGGAAAGAAGTCTACAAGATACTTCTTTTCACTTTATAAATCCAAGTACACAACTTCAAGCTGCTTTAAAATACAGGATTCTAATAATACAAATTTAAACAAACCTCTCGAAATTCTCGAATATATCAAGACCATCTATTAGGAAATATACAAGGCAGAAGAGTCTGACCAGGAGGCAACAAATGAGCTAACACAGAAACTCTCTAAAGTTATATAAGAACACAACATACAGCTGGTTAAACAAATAACTGAGGAAGTAAACAGTGCAATAGATGCACTGCCTTGCAACAAAACACCTGATCACCTACGAATTCTACAACAATCAATATGAAAGAGGAACTCCTCTCCTTTCTAACAAAACTCTTCAATTATGTACTTAACTCAGGGGATATGCCTAATTCCTGAAATAAAAGTATAATTACTTTGATCCCAAAGAAATCAGGCAATCTAGAGAACATTAACAATTGGAGACCTATTTCCCTTGTAAACAGTGATGCTAAAATCTTTATGATGATTATAGCCAATCGCATCAACCCAATATGTGATCTCCTTATTGGCTCAGCACAACAAGCCTTTATTAGAGAAAGATCCATAACAGACACCGCACTGGATATTCTAACAGTGCTAAGAAACCAATCTAATCAGTTGAAGCAGTACTGGCCCCTGTTACTAGACCAACAAAAAGCATTTGATAGAGTTAACCACTCTTATTTGCAAACAGTTCTCCAAAAAATGAACTTTGACCCAAAATTCACCAGAATTGTCAACACGCTTTTTTCAACTCAACAAGCACATATTACAGCAAGCGGTAAAATCTCAGAACCTTTCAAAGTTGAGCGAGGAGTTAGACAAGGAGATCCATTATCTCCACTATTGTATATAATAGCTTTCAATTCACTCTTAGTAGCTCTACAACAAAACATACAAGGCATCAACATTAACAACTATGTTTTCAAACTAGCAGCATATGCAGATGATCTGACAGTGAGATTCAGCTCTACAACAGACTGGGATAGCTTCACAAATACTATTAACAAATATGAAAAGGCATCAAATGCTAAGGTCAACAAACACAAGTCCATTTTGATCCCACTTAC